GCTCGGCCTTGAAACAGTCTAAGTGTTTTGCGGTAATGATGGAGGGGATGAGCTCTTCCTCGCGCTGATCCTGGATGATCTCAAACTTGCTCTGCATGAAGGCCACGGTCTTTGAACCAAGGGACTTTCCTGTGCGTGTTTTTCCTAGCCATGTGATGGCATTCTGCCTGAGGCTGGGGAGCATATGGACCAAAATTTCGTTGAACAACCATGCTTTGAAGCTCTTGAAGGTGAAAGGCCAATACTCTAAGGTCTTTGCATTTTGTTTGCCTCTCATGTAATTCTGCAAGGCAGTGACGACCTTCCCTTCGTTCCAATTTTCAATGGGGCTGCCTGGTGTGTGGATTTGCTCATCTGTCCACTCCATGAATTGGTTTCTATTGTTTGATTTGGGGCCTTTGTCCCGGATGAATTGGTACCCTGCGCTGCGGGCTGCACTGTCCATAGTTTGTTTCTTGGGGAACTTTGGTTGAACTACCCAATGCCGAATCTGCCTGCCACCCATGAGGTCAAGCATATAGTTCATAGCCAATAGACCCACCCTGAAATGCCGCCCATAGTCCCACCTGTGCGCTACTGTGCACGCATCCATACACATTTTCACTGGCTTTGTGCAGGTAGATGTGCTTGATGATATTGACATACTGTGCTTCAGGGTCTCCATTCTCAGGGGTCGTGGTGGGGACAATGATGATTTGCATCAAGTACGGTACCGGCAGTTCACTTTTCAAACAAAAGGGTGCTGTGGTCGGTTTTTATAGTCACCTTGAGCACAATGTTTGTAGATCACCTTCTCAAACACATCCTCTGCACCCGGGAGTCTGTGGTCAAAGATCACATCAAAGAACTGTTCGAGTTTAGTCCCTTCTGCTTCTAAGATGCGCAAGGGTAGATCTCCCACCTCAACCTCACCAATCTCCCTGGATGTTTTGATAGGTTTGGTCTCTGGCCCTTGAAGTTTGTTTCCTGCAATGTGTGCCACTGCCTCATCGAGGGTGATGACTCCATCCTAAGATGGCTAAAAATACAATATTATACTTGAAAAAACTTATATGACCCTATAGTGATTATACCAAAGTTTTGCCATACATTCATCTAAAGAAAATTTACCCTGGTCACACCCAATTGTCTTGCCAAACTCTCGCCTTCTATTTCTGCCATCACGAGAGGGCCAGACTCAAAGGCAACTGGACACTATATAGATGCTGATAAGCCACAAAACTATACATGTCAAATGACTTAATGGAATTCTGAAAATAGCAAAAAAGTGCACCCTCACAGCCTGCCACTCTCAAAAAAAAATGGCCTGCTGCTCCCAGATTTGCCTGCGCTGCTTCCAGCTGCTGGCAGGCCTCCAAACATGGAGGGTGCCCAAACCAAGCGCAGCCTCCGTGCCCTTGCCACCGCGCAACCACGCCGCGTACTGGTGTCGGTGATAGCCACTGACCTCCACATCTGTTCCCTCCTCTTTTGTGCTCCCACCAAAGATGCCACGGCAGCGAAACCTGCACATCAAGGTCTGCATGGTTCCGGTCACAATCTGCTCCGGACAGCTTCTCCACAATGGGTGTGTTGTCCTGGAAAGGAGGCTACTTCTCCTGTCTTGAGCCCTCTGCACGTTGCCCCACAAATACAATTCTGTAATGAAATTTGCAAAAATAGACTGCAAAAACATGCATTTCATAAGTCCGCTAAGTCTGAACCATGTTCTTTTCAGCTATACTTGTAAATCTATATAAGTTCCAACATACTTATACTTACTGTAAGTCCGCTAACCGATGTTACAAGTATGTTAAGTCTAAACAAATGACTTACTGTTAGAGTACTTGCAACATCTGTTTTGGTACTTGTGAGTTTACTTATAAGTAGGGCAGCCTCCTCGTATGTACACATGACTGTCAATAGCAAGGAAAATTATCCTTAGACAGCCTCGCTGTGATGTGAGCACTTGGCCATACACATGACAGATGATGTTTCTCATTCGATGTCGTGGTTAGTTGAAACACACACACATATGGGTCAATGTCAAGACATATTTTTACATAAATATACGTTTTGTTTTTAAAACAGAGCCTGTGAATACAGATGAAAAATATATATACCCAGTAGCGGCGGAACTGATTTATGGTGATTTGGGACATTGCGAAGGTCATGTTTGGGAGACGGAGATGTTTCACAAGCCGAACCATGTCACTCTTCGTGGCAATAGCTGTGTGATGGATGGCATGAAGAAAAACCTGGCAGGAGTGAGAGTTGCGGTGGTCCATGCAGTTGAACACGTAGCGTAATTTCGTGTTTGACCTCTTCCAGGCTGTCTGATGGCGCGCCCGTCAGGCCCGTAGGCCCTGTTCATTCCATGAGTCCTGTCAGCACGGGCCCGTCGAGCTGGGACTTGTGTAGCGGACCATTCTCATTTTGTGCGGCGCAAAATTCAGAGCGGCCCGCAGTTTGAGTGGGTCGATGGTTGATGATTTGAGTGCCAAAGTAGTTATCCAAGGTGAAGCGCTAAAGCTGCTGGGCACATTTGTTTCTTCATTTTGCAGCCAGGGCCACGAATACAGCCAGCTTTGGTCACCCAAGGGCGAAGCATTGTGCTGGTTTTCACACCGACTTAAGCTGATTTGTAATGTGATTCAGGCTGCGGTTTTTCAAGTGCATGCGCCCCAAAAAATGTCAACTACCAAGCGTGAGGCCCGAAGTGCTCCACGGCTGTAGGCAGCCTGGATGAAGAAATCAGGCAAGCTAACACGAGGAGGCACTGCCAAAAATTACTTTAAAATGAGCCGCTGAGATCTAGAGAGTTTTTGGGTTTGGGGCCGTTGACATCCGTTGACCTCTTGGGCCAGCCAAAGCTGGATTGTTTCTTCCAGCCCAATTTCTGGTGCAAGCCGTCAACATGAAAAATATTGTGGTCAAACGGTAAGATCTGTAAGAGTGTTTTCCTGAGTGTGAGCCAAGGGTGTCCCAGTGTCCCACCAAAATGTTCCAAAAAAATGCACCATGTTAAGGCAAAATGTCTCCCAAAAGTGTCCTATAGAAGTCTGACGCTAGAGCTACGGTGTTCCACCAGTTTTGCACGAGAGTGTCCCAGCGAGCGCAACATAGTTGGCCAGCCGCGGGCTCCTACTGCATTCCTACTGCTACCCTCGCAAAAAGGCAGTCAGGTGGCTGGCTGAAGGCACGGCCAATATGAACGCGATACCTTCGGCTGGTTTATTTCGTCAACCTACGGGTTGGTCGGGAGTTAAGCTTTTTCAAGAAGTTAAGGTCCAACCCAGTTTTCATAGCATCAATTACAACTAATCAGCTTCAAATGGTTTCAATTTTTTAAGTATTTTTGAAACATCTTAACATGTGAAAATATATCCGTTCCTCTGTCTACCCCTCCCCATCGGCCGCATTTAGTGCTGTGATAGGCCCACTGGGCAACCTGTTCCATTGTATTTGGGAATATTCCCACTTCCCAAGTGAAATTCTCATTGTACCTGGTAGTAAAGATTTGATGGCTATTGAATTGGCCAATTGGAGAGCGCAAACACCTAGAATGATTTCAGAACAGCAAGCACACTGCTATTTGTAGCCTCCAGGGCCTAAACATTTGACTTCAGCTTGAATATTTTGATTCCAGCTTAATTCGTCGGAGTTCGTCGGAGGGCAGCTTTGGGCTGTTTTCAGCCAATTTCTTTACGTCAAAATTCAGAGGCGCAAGTGCAATTTTCATTAGAAAATGCACCAAACTTGCTTGTTCAGAGCTATTTTCAGGTGGTTTTGGCCACACCAACAGCCAATTATCACGAGCAAAAACTTGAAAAACACAAGAATTTAAGAGTTTTAAGGCCAAGTTCGTCGGAGTTCGTCGGAACTCCACTTTAAGCCCGACTTAGATAGGACTCAGACTCCTCTGATTTAAATATATTTGATAGGTAGTAATCTAGGGAAGTTTGCATGGAAGTCTTGGAAGACCTTTACAAATTGAAATTCTGTCTTGAGAGTATTGTAATGAGTCCCTCCGTCCAGAGCAAACATATGGCCTCGAAGGATCTGGCTTTTACTGCTCACTCAATCCAGAACATTTAGTGGCAGACCACGTTTGACTCACCTGGATGGATCCTTTCCTGTAGGATACCCGTAAATTGTAAAGTTTTAAGTATTTCCAAACGGAAATTGATGTCCAGCTCCCCAAAAGCCTTATTTCCATCACGCAAATGTGGTCCACTGCTTAAAGTTCTGAAAACCCTTAAGTTCCGACGAACCTAGATTTGACGAAATTAATCACCTTCGGCTGACGAAGGCAACTCAATTGTGTCCAGTAGTGTGTCCAGTGATTCCAGTTGCTGGGAAACCCGAAGTTAATGTATGAAGCAGTCATCCAGTTCGAGCGAGGACTGAGCCAGAGGTGTCCTATTCTGGGCAAGTGGTGAGCGCTCGACATCACAGAGTTGTTCCAAGCTTTCATCGACTCTGAGGGAGGTTCCAGAGCTCCAAGGCTTCAGAATTCCCTGGATTTGATTTCCCGGTTTCATTCTCTTTCTGAGCGCCGGGGACGAGCAACACACTTCACCCCAGTAGAGAATGACACCAAAAAGAAAAGGAGCAAGTGCGGGTCCCGTGTTGGCATGAACCTGCAGGCGTCTGAGCCGCAGCTGTTTTGCAATAGCATATCATCCAAGCAAATGTTCGATTTAACACCCACTAACCAAGCCCCCATTCAAGCATTTTGAGGCAGGCTCCTCATACACCCCCCGATGAAGCACAATTTGGCTTTCGTTCGCACAGTCCGTAAAAGACGAAGCCAGTGATTGCTATTGTTCCAAAAGAATCCTTCTCAACAACCTACTACTCGTAGCAGGGTGCCCTGCTGGTACGTGGCAATGCCCTTCTGCATGTGTTTGTTGCTAGCATGTTGGAATCGCCTGCTTTGTAGCCAGCCAGGTGTCCAATCGTAAACGCTGTGATCAAGTCAACGGTTGCCTTGCTTCCGGCTTGCCATTTGCATGGCTCTAGCGTTTGGGATGATGATGTTCACGCGAGGGGCTTTGACTCGGCGGCGCTTCCATTGGGAAGCCCAACGGCGCTTCCCAACATGTTTAAAGGACCTGACATTTTGCAGAGTGACTATATATAGTGTGTGATTCAGGTTTCACAGTGGTTGGCACGAGGTACGCTCAGGCTAACCCTATCTAAATCTATCTAACCATATTTTTCGATGAGGGCAGTGACACCGCTTTGGACATGTGAGGGTGCACTTTGCAGTGGTTTAATCAGTTGGACTTTGATTCTTGTCCGTTCCTTCTTCGAGGAGCTAAAAAGACAACAGTCAATGACATGTGCGGTTTACCAACGTTGCGGAGCACTTTGGTGACTGAGCATGCGGGCCATGCCGGCACCTCAAGTAAATTTGGGCACGGATGGGACCTTGTGTGTAGCAGGATCGCTCTGTTTTTGAGGCCGATTCAGAATTTGATGACTGCGAACTTCTTGGCCAAGGGGCTTATGGCATGGTACATAAGGTGCAAGACAAGGTTCCGCAGCCGTTGTCCGGCGTTGTTTCCATGACTTGCAGCATACGTGTTGCTTCGCAGGCCACCGGGCAAAGCAAAGTTCTCAAGTCCGTTGTGCGGCCGGAAGGGTGGGATGATGAACGCCTCAAGCTAGAGGCGCTGCAACGAACGAAATGCCGGATGAATCACTCAAGATCAATCAAAAAAGTTTTTGACATTCCAGCCTCATCTCAATTTGCAGGCCCGGATTTTGCAAAACTTGGACCATCCGCACATCCTTCGCATCTTTTCCTGGTACGAAGAGGGGGACTCCATCAACATCGTCTTTGCCTCACAAGTTTTTCAGAATCTGTTTGGGATGGTGTAGGATGAGTTCCTTTGTTGTGGCTGGAGGTGTTTGGTTTGTTTGGTTTGTTTGAGCGATCCTTTTTGGCGGCCACCCTTTCTTTGATCAAAAAATAGATCAAAATGGTTCCCTGAACGCTCAGGTCATGGAGCATTGTGATGGTGGAGAGTTGCTAAAGGCCCCACGACCTTGTAGTAGCGTCCTTGCTCCTAGTAGCATTTCGTCCGCTCTTCACAACAGATTTGCATAGCGAAGGTTGTGAGAGAAGGGCGCCGACAAGGTGATGCCTTACCAGAACGATGGGCAGCTCCGCACTCAAAGCTGTTAGGGAGGCTGAAGTGAACATGAGAGTAAGATTGCATAAAATTACTAGACAGGCAATTATTGTGTTCTTGCCCCAATCATTCGTAACCTTGACAACATCTGCTAACTCTGCTTCCTGAGTCTTGCAGCTCCGTGCAAGGCTGCGAGCATCCGTCAAAGCTTTCAAGCATTGGCAATTTGCTCGGTATTAGAGCTGGTACCAGGTCAGTTCCATCTAAACACAAGACAAGTGCCGCTTATGTGCTTGAGGTGTACATTCACTCCAAAGGTGTTGTCCACAAAGACCTGAAAGGGCAAAATTTGCTCCTTTTACATGACACGTGTGGCCCCCAGCACTTTTGTTGAGCCATTTTCAGCACGACCATCATGACAACGCCTAGGCGAGAAAGTGGAAATGTTTTTGCTCGCCTCCCTCATGTTGTCATTTGTGATCTCGGCATAGCTGAAATTTGCTGCCGTGGTATTTTCGGCCAGGAGCTTAAAAACAGCTGCACCTTGAGCATGGTGAACTTCACAAGACTCACTACCTCTCGAGAGTTTGCCACAACTATTTCAACATCGCAATCTTTGAGCCTGTATATATTTCCCTTGAAGTTGATACTCTCTCTCTCTATATATATATAACTAAATATATATATATATACTAGTTCCTTCAGCAGTGTCATGCGCCACAAGCTCGGCAAGAAATGTCAAGAACATTTTGGGGCAGATGGTGCGCATGCCACACCAGCATAAGAAGGCTTTGATGCCTCCAACAGTTTGAATTTAGTTCTTCAGGCCTTCGCGGCAGCAAGGTGTGGCGGTCAAGAAATGTATATTTGCTAAAGACACATCTTGGAAGAGGACAGCATTTTGCAGGTAGCAGGGACTCCTGCGACAATGGCGCCTGAGGCCGCTAGAACTCAGTTCTCAGGCAGTTCGACTCAACTGTAGACCCTCACGGTGCAGGTTTGGTCAGGCAGCTGCGGGCCCAAAAGCTGGGCACCTGGAGGACTAACTATGCCATGCTTATATAGGTATCAAAAATATATACTTAATTGAAGGAAGATACAGAAGATAGGGGATGATAAGGTATTAAACCCCGCCTAAAGGGGATTAAAGAGGTCCTAACCTGCCTTTGTTCATCTCATTTTCTTCCTGCATTTTCGTCCGATGTTATCGTACGGTATTAGATCCAGCAGAAGACTAAGCCCAGACACCATCTTGCAAGAAATGTTTTTTGCTTTGCGCATGATAGTTTCCAAACCCGTTTGTCTCAGGTGATGTTTGGAGCATGGGGTGCGTCATGTTTGAGATGTTCACGAACAAGCTTCCGTTTGAAGTGCGAGGGAATGCTGGGCGCTGAGTCTAATTATATACTGTATTTTGGACTGCGGGATCTTGTGATTCTGGAATGTCTGCCAGCACCTCCCGAGGTAGAGGGCGCTGCCAAGCAGCAGGTCGGCATTTCATGATGTTTGATTTGATGCATTTTGCACTTCGTATCATTTGTGCTTTTGGCCCGGTGAATTGGTGTTAGGGATGCGGGTCCAAAAGCCAGGCCAAATGGGTCGAGCTCCACAGCAAAGGGCCAAACTGGGACATATTGCGATGCAGCGGGGACGTCAGTCCACATTTGTTTGTCTTCATGGTCACTTTATCAAAGTGTTTGATTTGCCCAAGTGCCGTTTTCAAGGTCGTGATGCTAAGTCGCTGTGCAAACAGCTGCTGACGTTTCGTGAGAGTGCTGGGCCCTTGCTTATGGTGCTCGTGTTCATTCTTTGTTTACTGAACTCCAGTTCAATCACATGCTGATATATGCTGCATGCTGCATATGCTTTTCTGAGGCTAGACCCTCCGCAGCAGAAAGTTTGCAGCATCCATGGTTGAAAATGCAACAAGCTGAAGCCCCTCGTTTGCACACTTGCATTAGCAAAAGTACAGCACAGAGTTCCTCAACTGTTTGTTGTGATTTCACTTTTCCCGCAGGAAGTGACCTCAGAAGACTTCCAGAAGCTTTGCTCTGCAGTGCTGACGTGGAGAGACCGCTCACCTTGTCAGCGAGCCTTCTGCCTCAAGGCCCGAGATCATCTACCGCCTTATAGAAAGGGCTAACGCCTGACTGGTCAGTTAAGAGCGGCTGGGCAAAGGTGCAGGTTCCATCCTGCGGTGTCCCAGACGCCGTTCGGCTATTTGCATGATTTGCATGGTGGTATGACGTGGTAAATGTGGAAGCCATCGCTAGTAGGTTGGAGGCCATCGCTATTGGCAACTCAAAAGAATACTGTATGTTTTTCTTTCAAACATTCTTAGGAGCAAGGACGCTACTAGGGGCTCCTGGCCGTAGGGCTACTAGGAACAAGAAGCTACTAGGGGCTCCTGGCATCGCTACTAGGAGCAAAATGGATCTGCATTGACATGTCTCGAAGATTCCCCGACCCTGGAGGTGGCGGCAAACTGCACCTGCATTGACAAGTTCGCAAAGCTGTTTATCAAGTTCGACACAGACAACAGCGGCGTTTTGGACACTCCGGAGCTAATGCCCCAAACTTAGAGCCAGAGGAATCTTATGAACAACCCCAATGTCACTCCATAATGTAGAGTGGACACATGGATGCAGTTGCTGATGTTTGTGCAGTTGCTTTCTTGCAGCAAGGCCAGTTGTCGTATTTTTGGCCGGGCCCAGCCTATTATTGCCATCCTATCGAGGTCAGCTTTGGTTTCGGTAGGCATCTCCAAAGAGCTTGCCAAGAAGACCGCCAAAGCGTTGGATGTGAACGGGGACAACTCCTGCGAGTATCTTGAGTTTACGGCTGCGTGTTTGTTGTCGATGGAGGATCGGAGGGCTGCCGTTTTTGCACCCATCATGTTCGCATATTCAAGTGGCTGCGAAGTTGTGACACACACACACACAGGACGAGTTTGATGAACTTCTACGTCAGGAATTTCGTGTCCTTGATGTGAAGAGGCAATTATATAGCTGTTTCAAGGCTTTGGTTCACCCGCGAACGAAATCTTTTGAAGGGCTGGGGCTCTGACTGCCAAAGAGATGGAGCCCCTCATCGCGGAGTTGAAGGTGCTTGTTTGTCTCTCAGCCTCTCAAATGGAGCTGTTGAGTCTTTCAAGATTTCCACTTTGAGTGCATCCACTGAGGCAGCTGCTCGCGGATTTGAGCTGGAGGACATTGACACAGATGGAGATGGCCACATCGACTTCCAGGCAGGGCCGCAATTTGAACCCACCACAAGGCCGTCAGGATCCCATTAGACAAAGCCACGTCATTGCAGGAGTTCTGTACTTACTTCGGGCGACCGAACGTGACCTATTCGCGCACATTGGCGCAAGCCAATGACAGTGCAAAGTTGAATGGTGGAAGCATGAAAATGCCCATGAAGCAGCATGTGCGGATCGTTGGTGGTCATGGCAGAAGTGCCCGGCGCTGAGAAGCAATTGTGCTTGCTTGGCGTGCAGCATGAACTCTACTGTTTGATTTTGGTTCTGCTGGCCTTACCTCACTAGGTCGAGATGAGCATGGATCAAATTCGGAAAAGTCATCGCCTCAGATGCTAATGTAGGGCTTGTGATGAGCTCTAGCCTCGCAGCCAAGACTGTAGCCAAGGCATGGGAATGCAACAGCCAGCTCCAAAGAAGGGCGAACCGATGACTCAAGCCACGGTGCGCCACCGGAAAGCTAAGCTAGCAATTTGCGGGCAAACATTTATCGCGAAAACGAGTAAACTGCTCGCAAAAAGTCAAAAAGTAAAATAGTTTTTGTTTTCGACTTTTCGAAACACATTTCATTTTTAGACTTTTCGGGAAAAGTTTTACTTTTTGTTTCAAGTCTTCGGGACTACCACAAGGAGAAATCTTTTCCCAAAAAGTCAAAAAGTTTGCCTTTTCGACTTTTCGAGAAAAGTCGGACTTTTCGACTTTTCGAGAACATCGACTTCTTGATTATTTGAAACAATATATTGCGCAAGTTCATTGTCATGTTCGGCTTATTTCTTATTAGAGCTAGCTTTCACCGCGAACGCTCAAGAGACAAATGGATCGTGCTGTTCGATGAGCAGTTCACGCACTCTTGAAATAGGCAAAAGACATCACGCCCCAGACATTGATGAACCAGCCAGAAGGGGTTCATTGATCCCAATACCAGACAAATCAATCCAAATGCCTACATACCAAACAGTCCGGAAGCCTTATACTCAAAAAGAAATGATTTGAATTAATTCTTAAGTTTTGTATCAGCTATAAATTTAAGTTTTGGACTATCGAACACGTTTCGACTCTTCAATACTCTTCAACTTCTCGCAAGAAGTCTGGCCTTTCGACCTTTCCGACTTTTCGATTCAGTTTTGGATGTTTTCCTGAAATGCTAAAAGTATTATGTTTTTTTTTTTTTTCGATTTTCTATTCTGAGAGTTAGCATCTCGTGATGACACCTTCTCTCATATAGGGTCCCCCTGTGGTTTTAGCCCATTTCATACTAACATCTATATCATATGAAAAGGTGCCATCACGAGCCTAATAGAAAAACAAAACAACACAACAAAAAACATAACAACAAACCAACAACAACAAAAACAAAACAAAGGACAACAATACAAACAAATTCAAAGAACTCAACACATACTTTATAAACTATATTTTATATTATATAAATTATGTTCTAATCACATGGCTCTCTCTTTACAATCAATATGGCTTGATGATGCTATGTGAGAGCCCCACATACATTGAAGCATACTACCTTTACAGTCATAACAATCATACTATACCTTGCCCCATTTACCAGGTGTTATTTCATTTGGTTTATCTACATCTTCACCTGCTTCATACATCTCTAAAAGGTGTTGATGTCCCACTGAGTTTTCATATTGTTTGAACTTGCATTTCTCACTTTTGCGGTGTTGTTTTTTGGGTTTTATTTGCTTCATCACGGTCTTCATTACAAGTTTTGTTTTCATTTCTGAATTCAGCAGTTGTTTTTTCCTTATCACACATACTCCATCTCTTTTCATCTCCATCTCTTTTCCGATACTATCTAAGATGACATCTCTTTAAATATGCCTCTCTAAAAGTAATGCATTTTAGACTTTAAGCAACTCATTGCGAAGCAATGGTCTTGGGCAATCGAATAATGTATAATTAATAGGTTTGTCCCAGTTTTGATTTATTGCCTCTACCGTGTGTTCACCTTTTAGACAGTGTGAAGTGCGTTCTTTTTCTGTAATTGCTTTCTTTCTCTCAATCTGTACTTTTTCACCTACCTCTAATTCAGGATACAATCTTTTCTTCTTTGCTTTCATTGATACATTTAATTTTGATGTAAGTTCATTGTCTTTTTCCTTGCTTCGTTTGGTGTGTGTCATTCCAGTTGCTGAATGGACATCTTTATTGTTTTAAGCACTCATTATATAGTTCAAATCTATAGCCAGTCCATTGGATGTTTCGCTTTCCTTTTTTTTCATCGTATCTACCCTCTTGAAAAGTTTATCTTTAAAAATTCTGATAAAACGCTCAGCAAAAGCAGGGTGCCCTCTTGTTCTATATAGCTCAATGCCTTCACCTTCAATGTATGCTTTGAAATCAGAACTTGCTATGGCTCTCTCATCATTTGTATAAATGACTTGTGGTTTTGCTCTCATGTTTTTGAGACCTTCCATTGTTCCAGCCATTGCATCAGGCAGGGTTTTGCTTTTTATTGGCACTACTACCGCATACTGCATACTTGCTTAAAACATCTATAATAACCAGCCCTGCTCTAAATTTGTGTTTTGCTTCAATATCTTCTGAAAAAACAAAAATATCAAGTTGATAAGTATGATTATGCGGAGCCACAAAGACATTAAAGCCCCTAGGCTTCTTCTTCACTTCAACAGTCTTGCTAAAAAAACTCTTCTACATCTGCCATAGTTACTCCGCAGGGAAAATTGATGAGGTGACTTTTTTTATTGCGCCAGGTTTAGGTATCAGGGGCATTCAGGTGTGTTGCGCCATCTATGCGCCCCGTGGCTAAAAATACAGGAAGATTCTGCATGATTTTGCGCGCTATTTTGCAGAAAATAGCGGAGATTGGGACCGCTCCATCTATTGCCCCACCGCAAAAGGACATCAAAAGGAAACGAATAAGTTCAAGAGGCAAGAGGACATCAAGAAGAAATATGAGGAAATCACTATTGGTACCGGGCCACACATTTTTGCTCAAAGGTCACGTGACCTCCACATCAAAGCAAGACAGCTTACTTTTACAGATTTTTACAGTACTTACTGTAACACTCTTCTTCACAGTATAGCCAGGTTGCAGCCGGCAGGCCAAATGTACAGAACTTGGCCATTGGGCCATCTATAGGCCCCAAACGTTTTGTGGGAAATAGGGAAAACTAGTATCCGCACAGACACCCCGCAGAATGTTAATTTTCTGCAATCCAAAGACCAGTTGCGCCATCTATGACGGCCAAATAGCGAGAAAAAGGAGTTACATGGCGCGGCTGTTCCCGCTATTTTTTTGGAGTTGCGCCAACAACTTTCTCCCCGGTGTATTGAATTGTCCTTTTTTAGCATCTTTCAAAGTAGTTGCTTTACTTCCATATCCACTTCTATCAAAATATGTATCATTAATAGCTTTTTGCTTTGATGCGATAATTATAATATATATGATAAAATGAACTATATATATCATGTATTTGCTACTACAATTACAATACTTACAGAACGCTACACAATTGCTCTTTGAATGGCATTGAGAATTACAAACACGCCGTGCTGTAAAGTCACTGCTTAGTCAACCTTTCCATACACCATTCAACATCAATATGTTCATCTTCATTTATTTCTCTATCTGCTTTCATATCTCGAAGTTTGTATCCTTCAATATTGTGTTCAAAATGTATTTTTATACATATTGAGTTTCATTTCCTTATCAACGTTTTTATTCAATTAACATGATCAGAGGGGCTTGCAAAAATGACTCTCACTTTTTTTTGACTCTCAG